CAGCCGAGGTCGACAATGGACCACCTTAACATGAAGCTCAACATGTGGAAAACCACTTTGCCGGTTCGAATATTCGTCTTCCTTGCCGCGGCCTCCGAACTACTGGCAGTACCTCTTCTGCCGCTTTCGGAGTGTCCTTGGCATCTTCGTCGAGTTGAAAGAGCGTACATGTTACAAACAAGCGGTGAGGCTTGTGGAGTTCGGCGTTTGGTTTGCATTGTAGGCTACTAAGTCTGGACACATTGACCACAACTGCTTTGGGTGCACCTGGCCCTCCAGGAGCTCGAGCTCTGCTTACTAGGTTTACAGGAAGAAAACATACACTCAGCCATCCTGCGACACTGGCCTGGCAAAGAGTCATGGTTGATGCTAATTCAACCGTCCAGGTGTTCAGCTGTAATGTCGCAATCTGCAGCACCCGTTGCGATGACGGGTTCTATCAAAGCAGCTCTCCATTGTCCGGAAACCCGCGCATGAAGCCAAGGTGCGGAGGAGGCCCGGAGGGAGGAGGTCGACCGAGCTGTCGTCAGGCTCAAGCTGTGGCCCCTTGAATGCTGCAGGTCTTCGGGTGTTGAGCTGAGGGCTCGGTGGCTGAGGGTTTATGGAAGCGTGCTTTCTTGAAGATTCAGGAGGCAGGATTTGAAGCCTGAAAAATTTGACGGCTTTCGGCCTTTGTGTTTGGAGGCCGGTTGAGGGCTTTTGCTGGGTTTGTTTCAGAAGCAGCGAAGACATCGAAGAGCACAACATGGTGGAAGCGAGGTGGGGTAGCCTGGAAGCTGTAGCGACTCCGTGACGTATATAAGAAAGAAGCCCAGATGTGCTGTTACATCTCAGGTCCCAAGTAACTCGTAAATTGACTTTCTAAAGCCCTACGTGTGATGAGGTCGTCACAGAGCCGCCCTTTCCCTGGACCTTAAGATCTCCCTCCCTCTGTCCGTCGTCCCTCGTCCGTCTACAAGCGCAACATCCGGGAAATGCTCCAAGCATGGCGGTTGGAGTGGACCCGGGAGAATCAAGCTTAGGAATCGGGTCTTGTGATGCTTCTTCGTCTTCTGCTTCCTGTTGCAGCTGCTGCCATTCCAAACATTAGTGCTGCCTGTGTTCTGCTGCGACGTCGACACGGACGACCAAGAAGACGAGCACGAGCAAGGTGACGATTGCAGAACAAACACATTGCGACTGCTTCCATGACCACCTCATGCTAGTCTTTGTTGTCCTACTTCTCCTATAGTAGGCATCCGAAACAGAGGAAATGATGCTAATTAAACATTCCTCGGACATCAGTGCGACGAGCCACATCGCAGGAAGAGCTCCAAGTGGACTCGAGGATGGACGATCGGACTGGCCAGTTATTGGCTGGGCTTTCGATTTATGTCGTGCATACAATGCTTCTCTTACCCAGCTTGCCATGTCCAACACATGAGTATCTTCAGTACCTCAAAAAATATGACCGGATTTCTGCACCGTGCTGCTACGAAGCGGGTCCCACACCTCACACGGGAATCACAGGAGTTTCGGTATGCGCAGGAAACGCTACAGCTGCTTCAGGATGTACGCCACTCCTCCTATGCCGCGAATGCATCCCCACCGCCCGGTGCAGCAACATGACACAGCCACTACTCTCGCATACTCTCGGTACTCTGCAGGGGATGACATGTGAGCAAAGAGAAGCCGATGCTAAAACGGAATCCCGAAGAGCTCGAACTCCAAAAACGAGCGTACGCCCCAAACATGCCCTTGGTCTCCAGCCTTTGCAGAGCCAAGTCGAGGGAGGCTCAGACTGTGGGTCCTTGGCTTGTACTTAGTTGGGAAGTCCGCTCTGTCTTGAGTAAGGTTCGTGTATATTGGCATTCCCGACTTCGGGTCAGGTTTCGGTTTGAATCTGGCGGTTTGGGGCGAGCTTTCAATCGTCTAGGCCAGAATGCTAACTCCTGTGCATTTTCCTGCCTAAGTCTAGAGCTAGAGTCGACTAGAGGCATTGCCACGGAGTGCTTTGCGTGTCAAATCCACTCGAGGACAGGACGTGGGCTTCATCATTCTTACTCCAGCTCTGGCATAGTTCTGAAGTTCAGACAACTGAAACGAAGCAAGCACGCGCTAGCTTGCCAGGCTTCAGTGCAGGTGCAGGTGCAGCTGGCACAGGAGGTGCGCCTGCCGCGTTCCGACGGATGGTCGAGATTTACCGGCTGAGCCATAACAGGGTGTACAATGTGTTAGGACACAGGCTGTTCTTTCGCGAGCTTGCACACACACACACACACTCTCACTGTTCTGTGCCATATAGGTTTTAGGGTGCCTGGCGGGCCTGGTGTCTATTGAAGTGGTTCTGAGCTGTACGAAGAACTTTGTTCATGATGCTCGGGCTTGTTTAGCTTCGGGGCTCCATTGGACCTTCTCGGGTTTGCAACCACCGAATGCCAAACTCAAAGCCTGAACGCAACCGAAGCAACTACGGCCGCAGCATCTTGGGATGCGCTCTCGATTGGGAGGAGGGTCACAACAACTGACAGAGCTCGCACGGATATCTCCGGGCCTGAATTTAAAAACTCTATCGAACCCAGTGCCCGAAACTATCGGACTCTAGGCATCCCTGGGCCTCATGCTGAGGCTCTGCACCAAGCTACATTTGACAAATCATGTGGAATCATGACCTTGAATGCTGTGTGAGCCCGTGCCTCACAAAGCCTTATATAACCCCGGAAAGGGTGCGTAAAGGATACCAAAACCTTGACTGCCACCCCCCGAGCTCGTCCACAAGGGCGGGGCCCGCCTGCGGTTTCACTCGGTCCTTCGGCCTGGTGAAAATCTGCTTGACTCTACGGCTCTACGGCCTTACATAAGGGCCTGAATCAATAATCAGAACAGGGTTTTTGGGGTATATATTATATATAAATGATAGTATATTTAATTATGATGATTATCTTGGCTTGCTTCTTTGGCGAGAAGTTGCCGGCCAAGCTGCCGTGGCACATCCAAGTGGTTTGCAGTGTTGAGGACGTGTTCTACCCCCACGATATGCATGAGCAGGGCTCATTGTATTCTACGCAGACTAGACCTGCAGTCGGCCCCCAAGTCCTGAAGCTGAACATCAAAAGCATTCAGCAACCACACTGTGGTTCCCTTCAAGGCTTGCAAGCACTGCCCACACTGTCTGCCTCGTTTAGCAGGATTGTCGGCAGCGCCTTCCAGGCTTTTTAATACTTGAGATACCTACGAGCTTTTGGTTAGCAAAGATGAGAGCTGGCGATGTCGGAGATGAGTAGACCGGTGGTATATGAACGATGGTACGATGACACACGTAGACAAGCAGCACCCACGGGAAGTCAGCCGTGGTTACTTACAGCCCTGCCATGTGGGATAGAGGATGTAGAAAGCAATACAATGTAGCAGACGCCAAAATTACAGTTGAAGACCTCACTCGAAGACTAAGTGCAGGTAAGGCATCGGTGTTTCTCCACTTCCAGCTTTTAAGGGGAGGCTGGGCTCTCTTGTCGTGAGGACAAGTTGGTCCTGCATCACCTGCAGGTTGAATTTTTGCCCGGAGGGCTTGGTGTTTATTGCAATGCTGGCTGGACCATGGAACTTTCATCTGTGCCAAAATCAGAAGGCTCCCGGTGCCAAGCACCAGACAATCGCTAGAGATCTTTTGTGTTTTCTCGTCTCTTGTTACTCTTGTTAGTCTTTCGGTCGATGCTTGTTGCCTTCTTCCTCTAGCGCTTAAACGCCTTGTCACAGACCCCTGCCCGCTCTCGTTTTCTTTCGCAAGGGCAAGAGGTGGAAGAGCGACCTCCACCCCCGCCCTCCAGGCGTCCCCCACATGTTCTAGGGAAGCATTTCGGAAGGGCTGCAGCGGCAGATTCACCGGAACAGTTCGCGCGCTGAAATGGGAAACACCCCTCTCAAACCACTTGCAAGAGTGCACCACCCGCTCTCTTTCGCTCTGTCTGGCTTTCCTCTTTCTTACTGCGGTTGCTTCGCCTGCGGCAGGCCACTGCAGGTCCAGCTCTTGCTGGTCTGGCGCGTTCGTGCACCCGGCCCGCTCACCGTTCAGGAAGGGACACTCGCCGTTTTGTTTGCCCCACTCTCTTCTTCTTCTGCTTCTTCTCGGTCAGGGCCGCCGCTGCACCGGGGCCCACCGTGTTTTGTTTAGAGAGAACATCCAAGGCAAACGGTTCGTTCATGTAAGGAATTTGGCCAGATCCAACAGATCCACGCTTTCAGGCCAACAAGAACAAACCCTGACGAGTATCATCTGGCGTATCTGAAGTTTGATGACGACGGTGATGATGACAATCTCACTCCCTCGTATTCGTACCCAAAACCTTGAAGCCCTCTTTATTAAGTCATAGTAGAAACTTAATGCCACAGTCTTCGGAATGGTCGCTTTGACTTGACTGACATGGGGTCTCATCGGGAACTTAAACTAGACCAGAAAAAGCGGTCCGGGGTGCTTCTGTGAGAGCGCGAACTCGATTCTGTCCCTGCTGCGGCGTCCTGCGATGGCACGAGGCATCTCGAAAGCGTTCGGGTTTCGGGGCTTCGAAGTCTTCGGAGTGAAGATACTCAGAGAAGGCTTCTGGAGTTGTGACTGTGGGTTTCAAGTCAGGAATTTGCAAGACTTAAGGCTCAAGGAGAGCGGTTTAAAAGGGAAACCTCATTGGCTTACTTCCGAGAGGCCCTGAAAGTTACGTGCCCAGCTCTGCTAGCTATCGAATGGCCATCGTAGTGGTCGTTATGAGGGCTCAGGAGCCTTTAAGACTTCAGGCTTCCAGGAAAGGCTTTGCAAACCCAGCGCGCGACCTGAGTCCTCTTAGTTTTGCTTTGCCCGGGCTGAAACTTCGGCTGTACAATGCAAGCTTTGCTGCGCAGTCCTCAAGGCGGTGCAAACTTCCCTGTGTCCGTCTTTCAGAGGGCTTGGAGTCTTAGAGAATGCCTTCGATACAGAATTGCAAGAAGTCCAAGGCGGGTGGTCAAATCGGCAAGATCTGATGCAACACCGCTCAGCAGCAGGTCGTGTTCTGGCGGCGCTCCACGCTTCCACCCTGCACCGGGTGTGGACGATGGGAGGCATGGACTTGGATTCAGAATCCCTTTTGTCGATTGCAGCCCAGGGTTGAGTTTCAGTCTGTTCAGTGGCAATAGGACGTGAGCCGGCCCTTCTGGGCCCATCTAGTCCTCCAGCCTCAGGAGTCTACCATCGTGAATCGTGGGCAGTGATCCCCGTGCAGAACCTGCGTACCTTGAATTCTGAGACCCCTGCGCTACTTCCTTGGTCTGTACCCAGGTCCCGAATGAATAGTTCGTGCTTTACAAAATCCCGGCACCTCAAATACTAAACAAGCTTTGAAGCCCGGCACCCGAAACAAACCCCAAATCCAAACTTTTGGAATCCATAACTACACCCTCCCACTGCGCCTCGGGCTCCTTCTCTGTCTGGAAAGCAGCGGGTACCACCGAATCGACCATGCTTTGCCTGATGGGCTAGGTTATACCACGATCATCCTTACGATTCTGCATGCTAGTCCCGTGTGGATCGTGGCATGTCGACCCGACAGCAAATGATAGTGCAATTACTTCGTCGTACTGTCTTTTCCCTCTAGCCTGTCTTAACTCCCGCAGAGATGGAAGTGCCATTTCAGGTCGAAATGTAATGTGTTTGAACTCAGATCTTGTCGAACATGTTTTGAGAAACCGTTGCATGATAACAGGTGCAACCATGATGTACCCCTATGCCGTATGCATGAGGAAGGCCAGTATTTTCAGCAAGCTCGGTGAGCTCGAGTTAGGCAGCAACCGACTGGCTAGAGACAACTACTGGCCTATAGATGCTTGCTCGGTGGCTTCGTGTGTTCTGTGGGCTGGGTCTACTGCATGAGGGACAGGCCCCAGTTGCTCCGCCACAGACCCACTTTGTTTTGAACCATCCCTCGTTGCACCTTACGTCGTTTTTGGCTTCATATTCGATGACAGCAAGAGACTCTTGCTGCCGGTGCACGCGCGTGTGCTTGCTTTGACAGCCTTTAGCTTTGTAATTGTACCGCTGGTGCCGGCAGGGGATGATTTTCCGGACGGCTTGTCATAGCACAATGGTCATGGGCCTTTGGCGGCCGCTCAGCTCAACACAGAAAACAACGAACGAGCCCATGAATGCCCAACTCAAGGGAATGCAAGCTGCTGCCACGGCTTGTTCACCGGGTCCACATACTGAATCCTCGGCGTGGCATGTCTTGACTGACCTGAAGCCCTGACTAGGTGCATGCTTCCGGCTTTGCTCGCTGCTGCCAGCCACAGCAAGTGAGATCCCTTCTGAAAAACCTTCGTGCACTCTGAACCGAAACTCTGCTCTACCGAAGCACCGGAGAAACAGTGACAAACATTGAACGCACCAAGTCCCAGAAAAGGGACACTAAAGTCAAGTCACTCCATGGCCTCTTGCATGGTGGCGCAGCAGGAACACCACATCCAAGTGCAGCAATCCTTTCAAGCAGAAACAGAAGCACTCATGTCGTTGAAACCGGCCATTGGGTCAGCCGTCAGCAGATGTGTCTCGTGAGCCGAACAACTTCTCAGTCCGACCAGTCGCGCTGCACTCCACTTCTGGGAGGTTCTGGGGCCCCTTATACTACTACGATAACAAGGAGCCCCCAAAATAGTATAGGTAATTACTGAGGCTCCTACATGTACGGTGGATGCAGTAGGATGCAGATGCAGATCGGGAGGGCCAGACATGCGCAGGCACAGGTCAACCGACCAAAGCAATTTAAGGCCACGCCGGACTCGACACGATCCTTTCAAAAACGGATAACTGATGTTGGCAAACAGCATCATTATGGATGCAAGCGGTCTCCACAAACACCTTCGGAAGTAGTGCGTGCGCATGAGAACCCAAGCGAGACAGTCCTGGTCCTAGTGCGCACTGATTATGTGTGTCCATCTACATGCATGCAGGCATGGGTACATGTGTAGTAAAACAACACTGTAGAGACTGTAGAGGCAAATGTACTTTATTTGCTTCTAGGAATTAGCGGACAGTGAGCGAGACATGGCCCGGTCCTCGGTGTAGGTCCTCCAAGTGCCTCAAACGCACATAACATGTTTGCGCGGTTTGTAGGTCCAACAGTAGAACCTCACTTCCCGACCCGGCTTCAGCCCAGATACCATGAGGCATGCCGTAGAGCCGTCGGATGAGCTGACGATGGTTCGCGGCCATGAACATGTAGATCAGAGCAGTGATGTAGAATGATGCCTGGTATCTGTATGGAATCGGCCGAGCGATGAACGTTTCGGACATTTGGCAACCGGAAGGGCTCCAGCAGAAGTCATGACCCGAGAACCGCACACCCTGAAGAAGGAACGCCGACCACCGAGTTGCAGAACTGACCTCAGCCCCTGACCCTATTGCCCTATCGTCCGGTGGCGCCGGCAACGTCCATTTTTTTCAATCCGTTACCCCAACTGCAGCCCAAAGGAAGCCAGGGCTCGTCCTGATTCACTTAGACAGCCAGGTGGCGGCTGTAAGCGCATTCAGAAAGGTCACAAGGATGACACCTGTTCAGAGTGACAGGTGAGGAAGTGCTAGAGACATCTCGAGTCCAAGCTGCACAAGTCCAAGCACGGCATACTCGAAACTTAAAGGACTTTCGAGGTGGCGAATTCCTGATTGGGATATTGGATCCAGCGACGAGGCGAACAAGAGAGAAAACAACTTCTTAAGCAGACCTATGAAGTCTGGGGTTGGCGGCTCTAGAAGACGGAGAAGACTGGACTAGACATGACAACGCGCAACGCGAGGCTTGTTGACATGGGTGCTGCCATTGCAACTTCGAAGGTCTAGAAGGGAACAATACGAACATATTGACCTTTGAGATGATTCTTGGTGGTGTGAAAGTCTGTGTGTTGTCGCTCCCTTTCATGCACCGCTACCACTGAAAGGGTCAATTTGTCAACCATGGGCATGACCATCTCGCGGTCGGGTGTAGTCAGTCTTGCTACATGTGCTGAGGCTTCTCGCAGCGCTAGGAGCCGGAGCAGCAGCAATATCATCTCCAACATCACTAACAGAATTAAAAAGCAAGTCACCGTCTAGGTCACCGTCTATACCTGTTCAATACCTCAGAGCTTTTTAGGATCGGTCGCTTACCTCCCGAATCGGTCGCACCGGCAATCCTGCACCTATGGTTTTGTCCCTGCCTTGGCAACATAATTCCGCTGCGTGGCAAAACTAGGATGCAATACCCGAAACTCACACTTCTGCATCCACAAGAAGTGATAGAGGACGAACTCCTCATATCAGTATCTGGGTGAACTGCCATGAACTTCTGTGAATCGAACAAACCCTCCGCAGCAGCACTTCAGGATCACAATCTCGCCATCGTATAGCATCCTTACCAGCGCCCGAGCACTGGGTCACAACGATCCAAACACGACTCGCCAGCAAGGTTGTGACAGAAAAAGCCCTGGCATCTGCCTCTTAGCAACACCAGCGACAGCGACTTCCCAAACAGAACTTGTGCCTCTGCTCTTTCTAGTTCTCAGGTTTCGGCCTACCGAGCCGTTGCGAGACTTTCAAGCTTTCTGATGCTTCGAACCCAATGTTAAGTCAGTGGCAGTACGCCGGAAGAAACCAGACACTCCACTGTCATACGCATATTACTCGTTGTCCGGATTCGTCTGCTCGTCTTTATTCTGCTTCTGCTTCGCCGGGCCTGTCCAAAAGGGCATGCAGTTGATCTTCGCCGAACTGGCAGTATCCGCCCAGCGGACTGGGGAACACCTTGTCGAGACCACATGCTCTGGCATCCAGGGATAAGTCTGAGGGAGTCCGGGCTTAGGAAAGTTGAGGATGCAAGAGCAGAGGCCAGGGTGTTTCCAGGTAACGGAGGCGATGAACTTGTGCTTTCCCGTTTGTTGCGCTGCTGGGGACAATGGTGAAACTGTTGCCTGGTGATGACACTGATGACGAAGCAGTTGTCTATGCCCGAATGTTCCGCGGATCTCCGAATTCACAGGCGTTTTTAAGCCACAGGCATGCAGCTGAAGCTTAAGCAAAACAAAGGCACCATCGCTGTTTCAAGCTATGCCAACTTCTGCTGTTCATAAATGCCTGATCCTTATCTTTTCCTGCAAGGCACAGGCAGGAGAAGCAGGGGATGCGCATGTCCCGCATGATCCTTAGGTGGGCTCACTTTCCACCCTCTGGACCTTCCAAGACTCTGGAGACCCATGAAGAAAAAGATACAAGACTTGTGTACCCTGTGTCTTCTCGACCCTTCCCGACACCCTAGACCACAACTTACTGGAACCAGAGGACACCTAACCTCAAAACAGCTAAACTCTGCACGTTGAAAAGATGCACTGCAAGCGAAGACATGTGCCTGAGGTCCTTGAACATTCGGTCGCGCGAGAAAGCAGGCTTAGATCTCGAGCTGCCCGGATGCTGCGTTTCGTACTTCTGCATAGCTGGCTCGGCAGCAGGGTTAGTGGCTTGATGCTTTCTGGTTTTGCGTCCACTGTTTACTAGTGGCAACCCTTCGAATGGAGTGCGTGAGGTGTTGCATGGAGGTCACACATAATGTTGACTGCACGGAATGCTTGCAAGATGAACACGCAGAGTCTGCGTTCATAATTTCGTCTGCCATGCACAACAGAGGTCCAAGCCAGACTCTGACAACTAGCAGTGTCTTGCCGGGGAGCTCCTTCGATGGTGCATCAGGGTCGAAATTGCAGATCCTCGGCAAGCACAAGCATGAACTACACGAGGTGCCACGGCTACTTTGCCACAGTACTGCAATGCTTGTTGGTGCGCTTGTTGCTGCTGCATGCTTGCAGTATCGTATGGGGTGAGCATGTCATTCTCATCCTTTCGCTACATCTATAGCCATTGCTCTTACAATGGCCTAGGTTAGTTAGCAAGCCATGTTGTTGACATTATTCTGCCACTCCAGTGTACATGCGTGCATCATGCTACATAAATGATCATGTCATTAGTCGTACGGAACTTCCATTGCCATACCTGTGTACCGATGCCAAGCATTGCCAAGCAGCCCATGCAAACCTTCGTTGTTCGCCATGAAACTTTCGAATCAACACAGACCCCATGCCATCCAACATCTCCACCTAAAGTAAGAAAACGCCCACCTGTAGGGTCAATGATTAAAACCTGAAATTCAAAACGATCCAAATCCTCATCGTCCCCTTGCCCCCCTCAAAAAAGACAACCCTCAATTCAGCCTCAGTTCTCCCAGAGGCTGAAGGTGAAGCCCTCCCTGGTCACCGTCGGGCGATTCTTCAGCACTGGGTAGGGGTAGTGGCAGTAGGTCCTGGGTGAAACTTGAAGGCTTGAAGATGCTTCCACGGTTTCGACTCTCACACTCGCACAAGGCTGGCAAGGCTTCGCATAGTTCTGTCTCCACTTCACCACGCAATTGTCAGAGGATTCAAGACTGCATGCATTCCACAAAGCATACAAAACGGACCAGTACAAACTAATGCAGGCAAACAAGGGATGACGCAATCCTGGCCTCTGACAAACTTGAGCTAGTGCTCATTGTTTCAAAAGAGGAATATCGGGCACGTGGATGCAAGAGACAAGTCTGAGCAGAGAGAAACTGCGGCTACGGCCACAGCCACTGCTGCAGAAGCAGCAGGGCTTGGGACCCTCGAACGGTACCTGTGCCATCCATCGGCCGTCTTCAACTTCTCCTCTCACTGCATGATTCCACGCCCGGCCCACGAATGAGGCCATGCAGGCATTGGCTAGACAAAGCAACCCATCTCCCAGTCTTTTCTGACCGAAACATGAACATGCAACTGGCACAACTACCGTTCCAAGTAGCACTTTCAACATTCAGACAGGAAATGGGCGTTGCAAGATACGTGCAGATACCACGCGTCCGTCTAAAAATCGAACTTACTACGCAGCATGCAGGCTCCAACTTGACGATGACATGTACTGGTGTCTCTCATTCACGTAACTGGTTTGCAAAGTTAGCAGTCCACAAACAAAAACCCTGGTGTCAGTCATCGCCCTTGAGCTACAGAAACCTGAACTCGGGACGCAATCATTGACTGATATCCCTCGGACTTCCATACTGCAGCCGTGTTCTGAACGCAGTCATTGCCAACGTCCAGAGAGTCGAAGCTGTCGAAGCGCTTGGCTTTCACACGCTTACCCTTCGCATTCCTCCTGCGTGGAGGCTGTCTCCCCGTCGCCAGCCACCCCATCGTCCATAAGTTGGATCATTTGCTCCAGGTTTGCCTCGGAGTACATGGTCGGAACCGAGGCATTGAAGCCCAGCTTGGCCTCCAACTGCTGGCGGAGGCCCTTGAGGTTGGCCATGGAGTCCTTCAGCTCCTTCAGCTCCTCAAGGCGGCGAGGGGTGGGCACGGTGTAGAGCTCGTTGATCTTCGCTTGTGCCTCCGGGTTCTTCAAGATGCCGCCCTTGGCACAGGCAGCATGCACGGCGGCGCCGTACGGGGCCATGGCAGCGGCGGACGTGATGATGCCAGAGATGCTCGCCCCACAGAGCGCGCTGACGTCCAGGAAGTCCTGGCAATGTACGACGATCAAGTTGATGAAGGTAACGACCTGGCTCATGTAGGCGATGGCACCACCGATGTCCACTGTGCATAGTGCGGAAAAGATGCCTGTAACCTTGTTGATCGGCCCGT